TGGTATCCAGAGCCCCATTCCACATTTGCATCTACCATAGGCTTTGGGTCTTTACTTTGTATCTTCAAGTCTTCTGCTTTTGGTGAACATCCTTTCATGGCTATCATTAGCTGTATTTAATTTAAAAACTAAGGTCCTCAGAGCTTCTTTCAATCAAATCATAATATATTACTTGAAAAGGAACAATCTAGCAGCATCAAGAAACAGGAATTCGAGGTATGGGGGGCAAGGACTGTGGGGAAAGGGTTATTTTCCATGCCCTGTTGGAATGCTTCTTGTAGTCTTCTGAATAGTCAGTTCTGGAAGCAGGATCCTGGTCTAGGTGGACCTTTCTGATTTAATGCAAAGGGTCCCTCCTTGTGGTTGCCACATTATAACTCAGGGAACTGGTCTATTCTTTAGCAGCTCCACAACCCTCTTCAAAGATTTTCTTCCATTCTAGACATCAGTCCTAGCCTCATGTGGGTGTGGTGAGCTAAGTGAAAAGTAACACCAGTTGCATTATCTTTCTCAGCTGCTGTGCTATTACAGGGGCAGGACAATTGCTCAGTCCAGTCACCCCAGCCCCTTGCTCGCATTGAACTAGGACTCAATACACACCAAGTTAACTATTTGTAGTAATCATAATCAGTTCTCTTGGTTTTTTTCTATACAGAATTAGCAGAGCATCTGAAGTAGAGAAGAGCCACGGTGCACATTGCCCTGTGCCAGTTTCCTGTTGAAAAGCAAGATTCTGGGGTAAGGAGGAAAAGAATTTTCAGCAGGAAACTGGAATGGAGCCCCAATTTGAATGAGGAACTTATTCAGAGATGGGAATTAATGCCTAATTTTTCTTTAGGATTAAGTGGCCGGTTTACATAAACTGTTCTTGAGAAGCATGAATAATGCAACATGTCATTTGACCCTTTACCTGCAGAGTGAAAAAGAAAAGAAGGGAACTGTTTTGGAAGTCCAGCTTAGATGCCTGCTCTTATGGGTCCTATAGGATGCCAAGAGCTATAGGATGAGTTTCCATCACTTTTTCTGGCAGAGCCCCTTTGCCTGAATAGCAATGCGAGGAGGAGAAATACTCCAGGCAAAACATTTGCCACCACTGCATCACTAGTGCAGGAATCCCTGTGCTTGTTGAATCTCTGTCCTATTAGGTAACTCAGCCTTCCCCAACCTGGTGCCTTCCAATTTTATCAGACTACAGCTCCCAGTACCCTGAGAGTTCTAGCAGAACAGAGTGGAAGGTCATCAGATTGGAGATGACTCAAGCAGCTGTGACATCTGTGGATGTTCTGTCAAAGAAAGGACAGCAAAATAGCTTTTCAGGAAGCCCAGGTGAACTTGTTCTCTGCAGTCAAAACTAAGTGCTGACATGGTGTCATATTAAACTGGGCATGTGAGGTCCCAGAAATACTCACTATTTCCATCTGAGAATGGAACTTCTCAGCCCTCTGGAATATAAGACAAGATAGAAGTTTCTTGTTAAAACTTCAGAACATGGAGTAATAAAGAGCAACACCGAGCTTCTTACCTCAGTTCCCTTGAGCTGCAGATGTACTAGAAGAGAGAAAGACAGTGCCACCCTCCTCCTCTGAGTTCTTCACTTTCTTTGGCTGCTTCTTATATAGGGATCAAGCGCTAGTTCCAGGAAATCTTCCAATGGGACTCAAAATTGGGGCGGGGGGTGGGATTTTGATTTTTGTTTTGTTTGCTGTTTCTCTTCACCAGAGTAGAGTGGGTGTGAAGAGGGTGTGCTTCAATTAACTTGGGACCTGAAGTTCCTGGATTAGTCCTTCTCTGATGAGGCTGTGGTTAAGTCTTTGGTTGTGAAATGTTTGGCCACCAGAGGACCAATGGTGATTAGCAGGAAGAAATGATGGACTATTCTGGCAATTCCACAAAAGCAGCCATCACTGGCTCCCGGCCGATCCCCACCTTGTCTAGTCATTCAAATGACTGCTGCAGCTGAAGATACATTATTTATTAGGTGTTGGGGCAGTGACATCACTAGGAAGTTCAAGGCAATGAATGAGCCCCCAAAGTGTCACCAGAAAATGGACAATCTTGTGTTGAAGGCTGAACTGTTAAGGTCGCTTCTTCCAAACCAGCAGAATCCATGTATTTGTTAAAGGAAGATTCACAGATTTCCCTGGATGGCACCCAGGTTAGGAATCCAAGGTCTGTGTTGGTCATTACTGGCTGATAAGCCAACATTTCTTCATATTTCCATTCAAGAAGGGAAGTGCAACCAGATGGTGCCCCAAGGGAACAGCGTAACTAACAAATAGTAATACTATTTTGCCATAACAAAACAATTTATTAGAATAATGGAAATGAAAGCATGTGAGTGAAAGAGACTAAATGGACAAAAGGGGGAAGAAGCTTATTTGTGTCTCAGGGCAAAGTCCAACCCGAAGCTCCAAAAAGTCCCTTCCCAAACAAGATCAAGTAATCATAGGATTGTACTCTTGCAGATATATCCTCTGGGATGGCAGTGTTCACTTGCCATGAAGTATGATGGCACAAAGGAAGGGGGACACCATTTTACAATTGATAGCAGAGGCTAAAATCAAGAGGTGAGGGCAATTTCCAGAAAGTTTCGAGAAAGGCCTACATATCAAGATGAATTGAAGAGATGGAGTGTGAGTTGCCTCAATGAAATTCAAGGTCATTGCTTAGGTGACATATCAGTGGTTTTGAGGTGGAACAAGTAATGTCTAATGAATGTTTTAAAAGGCTCTTCATAATAGAATAAAATTTTGTCTAGAGTGAAATTTGGGGCACTTTCAGAAGACAAAACATGGTAGGAACTTCAAAAATGCCATAAGAGCATGTGAACATATGCAGAAGTAGGGTTGGGAGGAACACTTTTGGATTTCAATCCTCTGCAGGGTTCCTCTTGTAATCAGCCTGGTCCTGCAAAGCGAGCAGAGCTAAGGGCATGTATAGGATGGCTCACGGACCCCAAATGTAAAACCAGCAACCTTCTCTGTCAGGAGCAGCTGCAGGATATGGGAAGGGGGCATGCCAAGTAGCAGCCATTCCTAGCAAGCAAATATCTTCCCCACTGGCTGTTACCAGTGGCAGCACATGGGGGGACGGGCACTGCTTGTGCAGTACACGCAGTTCAATTTCTTGCAAGTGCCCCATGGACACTGGGCACACGTACCAGGAATCACGAAGACATAAAGATCATTGAGTGGCTTTGGGCCAGTCTCAGTCCAAAGAATCTCACAGGGTTGAACAGGAAGAGAGTCCTGTGTGTCACCTTGGTTTCAGCAAATATTGTTATAGCTAACTGGTTGGAACATGACTTTCTTCCATCAGTAATGCTGTACTCCATTCTAATCAAGCCTATATAATTAGAAGCCCTCTCTGTCAACATGATGTTTCAGGAAAGTAGAGAATGCTTATTGATGATTTTTAATAAACTGAAACTCAAGACAGAAAATGCCAGATCGTTTTCTTACCAGAAGATGTTGAAATCTGGCTGCATTACAGATAAGATGACTGATTTATATAGTCCTCACATCTGTACGACTAAGGTTTTTTTTCCTCCAGCATAACATGTGTGGAACCAAAAGAGCTGAAAGAGCATCCAGCTGCTAAGCCGTCCACATACCAATAGCTCATGACCAAGCACAGACGGGGCTGCCTTTCGAAGGTCAACACTCTGCTTGCCAGGAAAACCTGTAGCTTCCTCCCATTCTTCCTTGCATGTTGCAAGCACTGCCTCCACCCGTTTCTTCCCTTCCTTTGTGGCAGAACTAAAGCATGTAGGCAAAGTGATAACACTCTAGAATAGCTTTCCAAAGAGGTTTTATTCATTTTCAGGAGAAAGGAACATGATTTTCATTGGCACAGGCTATGCTTTTAGTGCATGAAACTGGACTGTCCAAAATACAGAGGTTTGCTCTGGAAACTGAACTTTGTTGGGTGAACAGTTGCTACCAGTGGTGAGCAGCACAAGGGGAGGTCCAAGTCCCTCAGGCGGCTTTCAGGCATTACTGGAAGAGAAAAATATCAAGAAGCAAACTGTGAGCACATTCATGCTACAGCAAGGGTCTTCCCAAAACTTCTCCAGACAATCATACCCTTTTATGTCAAACATACTGGCTCTGTTTAGGAGTATTCGGCATGCTGAAAGTTAAGGATGGGTGAACAAGGTGTGCTTGAAGTCCTGGGGATTCTCCCACAGTCCATCCCACACTTGATTCCAGTTTGTGTTTGCAATCACTGATCACGCTCTGTAAAGGGGGAGCTTGTGGGAATAGAGCTCGGGCCAAATGGGATATTTCTGCAAGTCTCCCCAGATCAGCGCAGTGTTCTTCACCCGCACAATCTTCCTCCGTAGACTAAAGTACGGCTGATTTAATCTGCTCCATGGAGGAAATGTATGCAAATCAGCACATGCACACAAATGAACTGAGTATTGGGTACAGAATGAATGCCAGCATGTGTCTGACAATGGGCAATATTTTCAGAGAAATATGCTGCTGTTCACATACTTTGAGAATATTCCCAGTAGCTCCACAAGGCGTTCTGAGTTTGTTTCAGACAAGGATAATGGATCTGACCAAGGCCTGTCCACTCCAGCATTGTGTTGGCACTATTGCCATAAAGGCTCAGTGAATGGACATTTTTCTCTATGCAGAGAGATCCATTCCTTCTGCTTCAAGACACTGCTTCCTGCTGCCAATGCTACTACCAGCTATCTCAAGATTGCGCCACATCCTGTGAACCCTCCAAGACAAAAATCTCCCACAGAGGCAGGATGAGAGCTAGCATGGTGCAGCCATTAAAGTGTTCCACTGGGTTTCAGGAGCTCTGGGTTCCAGGTTCCACCCCTCCGTGAAAATCACAGGACAACTTTGAGCTGGCCATCAACTCTCAGACTAGCCTTCCTCACAGGGTCATTGGAAGGATACAGTAGTCAGGAGGAAGATGAAAGCCATTTTGGGCCCCTTGCAGGAAGAAAGGTGGGATATAAATTAATAAATGAAGACCACTCACCAGCCAGAGAAGTCCATGGACTTCCAGGCTTCAATGACCACAGAGATGCTTCCTGCTATCTCCCCATTGGGCAGTTGAAGATCATCGGCACTATTTCCATTAAAGTTCCCACAGGAGGCACACAACATTCCTGCCAGATTGCCACTGGCTTGCACCAGCACTTTCCCAGTGGACCAGAGGAGCACCTTGACTTTGGAGGCCAACTCAACCACGACTCCATCCTCAGAGAGTCTCACTGAGACATCATCAGTGGCCTTGGCTGGGAGGGCCATGCTGTGGCCATTTATCTGAAATGCAGAAATAAACCATGAAAGGGTCAGCATTGGCTAAAGGAAAGAAGAGATCAGAGGCACACACTTCACCTCTTCCTCAGTGATACTGAGTCATACTTGTGCTTCCTAGGCTCCATACTCCTTATAAGCAGATCCTGACACAAACAACACAGAATGGCTACTGTGATGGGTCCCTAACTCTGCGCGACTAAAGGATGAATGAGAGTACAGTCCAAGGCAGTGTTAAACAGAAAAAAACTATGCTTTGGGGGCATGGATGGAGCTGTGGACCTTGTTTCTGTCCAAACCTGCATAGGATTGCAGCCTAAGTAGCTCTTTGTCTTCCTCTTGCCAGGCAGAGTGGTGACAACATGGGGAAAGGAAGAGATGAACATACCATTCAATGTTTTGTAGCTACCCACTCACCCATGTCTCCCTGTTCCTCCTAACAGTGATGAAGCCTCCTTGGAAAAATATGTGTATGGTTGATACTGCTGGCAAATCCCAATCGTTGCATTCCTGGACTACTGCCACGATCCTGAACCAAAAGGGGTCACTCTCGTTGCAAAGGGAAGCCACGTCATACACCCCCTTGTGGAGGATCTCCCCGGAGACACCATCGAAGGAGACCAGCCGTGCACCAGGGGTGAGGGCACACTCGCCCTCGGGACCCCTGCAGCCACGCACACCATCATGGATGGCGCATATCTCCCCTAGCTGGCAGCTGGTGTCCTCGCAGGTGAGCCGGCCTGATGCGCGACAAGTGCACTTCCTCAGACAGCCTTCCAAGACAAGACTTTCTCCAGCCTGTGATGTTTATAGTAGAACGGAAGAGAGCATTAAAAATTAAACCACAAATGTTGGTGAACTGACAGCAAAGCAACATGCATTTCACAAAGAGACCCTGCACTTCTAAAAGGAAGAACAAACTACTGCGATCCCTTCACAAAACTGATGGTTGCTCTATATATCTGGGAACTAATAGGTTACAGGAAATAATGTTTCACACTGATACAGAAAATAATTCTATTACAGAAGGCCATGACAGGCTGCCTGCCCTCTCACCCATTCAGTTGGGAAGTGATACATCCAAGAGAAGTCTGTTTGGAGGATGCCACAAAAGGCTTATGGGCCTCTTTGGAGTCTTTGGCCTTCCCAGTTTGGATGGGATGCTGCTCACCAAGTGCTTCTGAGAGGCAAAGGCCCTGGCAGTGGCAGGGCTGGCCCACCTAGGCAAAGGCAAGTCATCTTGGATGCTCCCATGCACTTGAAGCTTCCTTGGCTGAGGAGGTTCACGTAGCAGAGGAGCTTGCCATATATCGGTCATTCAGGCAGAGGTCCTATCCAGGCTTTAGAGATGGACAAAACTAGCTTACTGAAATGTATGCCCACATCGACATGAATGCAATGGAGGGAGAAATCGTTGGATTCCCAGAACCAAGGCTGGAGGCAGTGCTCCAATTCTGGAGCTGCAGATCGGTGCTTATGACCTGCAACCTGCTTCATTCCCCCTCTAGGTGGCCAATGCAGACTATGCCATGGAGAGAGGTGTGGGAAAGTGAAGATCACCTCGGCTGTTCTTCCCATTCAGCATGGGATGCTGGTGAGTCCCTAGTTTGGGTGCTTGCAAGCACCAGGGGAGGAATCATCAGGACGGTGCCCGTAACGGCTACTGCATGTACCTTGATGTATCTTCCATCATACACACAGCCGCAGTCCTCCATCGCCACACATCTGTTGCCATCAAACAGATAGCTGCTGTCACACTGGCAGCCTTCAAAGCATTTCTCTGTGCACTGCCCTGATGTAGACAAACTGGTGCAGGTGAAATCACAAGTCCTGGTACACAGACTGTAATGGCTGTTGGACGGGCAGGTGAGAGCTAGAGACAGGGAGAAGGAAAGAGGGCCGATAAGGGCAGGCTGGGCATGCGCGTTCCGAAATCGCAGCCCCAGCAGGGTTTCCATCCGTATTAGTCAGAGCGTGTGGCATATGTGAAGACTGTCAAAGACATTCAGTGAAACACATATCCTGTTGTCATAATTTGTGATGGCACTCCCACCTGTTTCAATTCCTTTAGTATAATAGGCCACACCTCTGGATTACCTTTATGCTATAAATACCCAGATGGGAAGGTCTGCCTCTGCTCTCTTGCAAACTCCCTCAAAATTGCTTTCTGGAAAAGCAATATGAATCTCTCTCACTCTCTCTCTGTATATGTATGCTTATTTTCACATAAAGGAAGAGTTGCCAGGCCAGATTACTTCATTATGAACTGGATATTTGAACTGTTTGGTTATTTTTTCTTGTTCTTGACTCTGAACAGTCTGTTAGCACTTGAGGCGTGTTATAGCAGAAAGAGAGGAGCAGAGTGTGTAATCTTCAGCCGGGAGAAGGAGGACATGAGATTCTTCCAGGCCAAAACTACTGTAGCAGCTCAATCCTTGGTTTATTTCCAAACATTTGTCAATGCATGTTCAGGCATAACTCTGGAAACAGCAGCACAATCAATCAGCTTAAGCAAGCAAACAAGGAAGGAAGAAAAGGGAGGGAGAAGAGAAAGTTCTTCTCCACATTCCACATCCAGGTCATTTAAAAGCCTGAGTGAATTAATGGTGAAAGTCCAAACTTCAGTAGAGTACCAAAGTGACTTCTTACTTGTGGCATTGCCTTCCTCACATTGCACTACCCACATGGTATCTGCATGGGACATTTGAAACTGGGATGGCTTGAGCTCTTCTCACCTAAAGGAGCAACTCTGACTATGAAAGAAGCAAAGTATGGGAAAAAGTAGGCCTTCTCTGTGGCTACACCACAACTAAGGAACAGCATGTCGCTGTTTTTACTGCCTTCTGCTGTAAAAAGGCAGTAAAATTACTGCCTTCTGCTGGTGTGTGTTTTTTTAATCCCAGCAGGATTTTGCCTTGCTGAGCAAAGTACGTTCTATTTGAAGAACTGTCGCTTATCAGTTATGCCGAGTTCTGTTCTGTGGCGTTTTACTATTCTTTGTCTGATAGTGTTGCTTTATTATGCTATTTATTTTCATTCCTGTCAGCCACGCAGAATGGCGTGTAAGCATTAGAAGGGCAGCATAGGTGTGAAACAATTCTGCTGACGACACATTGCAGGGTGGACATCAGAAGTAAGGGTGCGGTGAGGAAAACAGACACTGAGAACGCGCAAGTGTGGCTCGCTCTTCAACTTACGGCAGAAGCTGCTATTTCTCCAGGCCTCGATGGTAGCACCAGCAGCTTGGCAGGCCGCCACGTATGCCTGAAGGCTCCGACAGAGGGACTCCATGGCACCGTTGGAAGCACACATATCGTAGAGGCAGTGGCCAAAGTACTCTGCAGGATCCACGAAGGCATGGCAGCCTTTGAATGGGCCTGACATGGCTTGGATCATTCCGCAGGAGCTCTTGGGAGTGTATGGCGCTGTCTGCTGTGACCCACAGACAGGGCATTTCTCACCACAGCCATCTGAACAGCCTGTTCCCTCCAGGGGAACCTTCCATGAAGCACCAAATTGGTCAACGTTCTGTGTGCTTTCTCCACTGGGCAGAGTGAAGTCATCTGTTTTGTCCTTATTGAAATTACCGCACAAGCCCCCGACATGCCCCTGGTAGGTGCTGGGCACAAACACGAGGACATAGGAGGAGGAATCATAAAGGACTTTGAGGCCGAAGTCAGACTGAACGATGATGTTGCTCCCTTCCTGGTTGGCCCAGAGTCTCCCAGCACTGGTAGTCATTGGCAAGGTGTAACGTTCCCCGTTCACCTAGATTGACGACAAAGAACGTGACTGCAGACACTCTGATTACAGGCACGAATGTGCAAACCGCAGAGGGCTGCCCACTCTCACACTTTAAATCGCACGTGTCTTCGAAATAAAGAGGGGGAGACTTCCTTATCTCTGCAGGAACAGAGAGGAAGAAGTCCAGGAAGAAAAGCAAAGGGACCCCACCCCCCAACACACACCTTGTCAGCCTGTAACATTTCAGAACAACGTGAAGATGGCACGGTATTACGGAGTGATATTTTCCTATCAGCTCTTGCAATTGCAGGAATGTCAGGTGAAACTTGTGGACACCTGATTTGGAGACTAAGCTCACAGAAGGACTCACCTTGACCTGCCACTTCATTCCCTTCTCAATGACGACAGTGTAGCCATGAACTGAGACCACAACAGACTTTGTCAGGGACCTGTCATTCTCCACAAGCACAGAGAAGTTTGCTAACCGAGAATCCTTGCCGGCAACTGTACTTAAGGCATACAAGCAGGTACCGTGGAAGTCGTAGGCCCGGCCATCAAAGGTCAAGTAATGGGAACCTGCGGCCACACGGCAGTTGCCACAGCCCACTGGATGGCAGCCTTGGATGCCATCCTGCACCTTGCATTCTTCGTGGGGACCACAGGAGGTTTCCTGGCATTCAACAACCCCATTCTCAGTGCACTGGCATTGCTCCTGGCAGGAGGAGCTGGGGTAGAAGTACTCTCCCTTCTTGTAGTACTTCCCCTGGTGCATACAGCCACAGTCACCCAGAGGAACGCACTGGTCCCCACTCAGGACGAACCCAGCATCGCAATAGCAGCCCTCTTTGCATGAGGCCACGCAGCCGGCTGGAGCAGAGAGCCCATGGCAAGTGACAGGGCAGCCATTTCCGCAGAGCTCATAGTGAGAGTTCAGCCAACAGGCAGGGCCTGGAAGAAAGGACAGAAGACAATGTGGAGAATGTCAGGCTAACACTGGAGGTATTTTGCTGGAAAGGTGGTTCTCTGGGCACAGGGAGTAGAATAAGTCTGGGTTGCTCTGCTGAGTGACCTCTTCTGGTAAGGTGTGAGCTCAGAGTGAGATCCCATGCATCGTTAAGCAGAAAAATTCCCAGCATTCCCCAGTCAAATGCTGGAAGTTGTTGGGCTTTTTTCAGTCTAAATATGCATGTTTGGGAGCATACGAGATCTAGTTTCTAGACCTTGTTAAGTCCTTGTCTCTGCCAAATAAAAGAGAGGTGCCAATGTTTGTTGATATGAAGTTCATATCCAAATTTTCTAATGTCAGACTACCTTTTAAGAAGCCTCCCACTTGCAAAGTCTGGGAATGTCAGGGTTTTGCAACACACTCTTGACTTCCTCATCATTACATCTGGAATGCATTTGATCAGCCGTTCCCTACAGGGCTCTGCTAAAGAAGGTCTAAGAGGTGGCACTTACTGCAGAAAGAGTCTGTTCTCCATGGTCCAATCTGAACGCCCAAGGCTTGGCAGGCAGCCACATAAACGCTGATGGCACGGCACAGAGCATCATGCTGACCATGGTACTGGCAGGTATCAAAGACACAGTCAATGAAGTAGGGTGTTGGGTCAATGGTCCCGTGGCATTGCCGGAATGGCCCATCCTTTTTGATGAGGATGCCGCAGTATTGCTCACCCTCATAGGCTTCCTTCTGGGCATCTCCACAGGCTGGGCAGTCGTCAGTGCAGCCCACTGAGCAACCAGGGACCTCAGCCACCTTCCAGCTCTCGGCAAATTGAGATGCACTCGGTGCCTGGCTGCCATCCTTCATGGCAAAGTCATCCTTCGGGTCCCGGTTATTGTTGCCACAGAGACCACACACAGCATTGGTGTAAGTGCTGGGCACCATGACTCTGACGTAACTCTTCCAGTCAAAGACCACCGTCACATCAAAATCAGTCTGGATGAACACCTCCATTCCATGGAGGTAAGCCTTTATCTTGTCCCCATGGTAGAAAGGCAGGTTTGCAAAAGCGCCATTGACCTGGAACATGATGCAAGAGGATGGACCCATCACACCCATCCTCTCACCCCTTGTTTTTAAAACCACAGTGGCAGATCTGCCCTGAATGAGCAGCTTATCTGCACGCTTGTGAAGCTCCACAGCTGCGGAGCCCTGCATAAATGGGCAATCCTAAAAGGCTTAGCAAAATAGTTGATGTTTCTGCATGGCCATCAAAATGTGTCATTCTATCTCAATTTTAAGGGACTCCATAAAGCAGCTCCAGCTGCAAATAAGGCTAAGTTGTTCTCACTGATATATGGCAGGAAGGTAATGTGGCTAAAGCTCTTACTTCTTTGGTCAGGGAGGAAGTACTAGGAATAACAACCACAACAACACCAACCCAAGCAGTCCTGTTCTTGCAGCTACAGAATACTCCTGTGCTTGACCCAGCATGCAAATCTGGTTCGGATAGCCCTCAGGTGGCCATCTTAAGACCAAAGAATCTGAATTTGCTGGAGGGTCCTCAGGGCTGCAAAAAACCTCCTTGAACTCACCCACATCATGAACCTCAAAGGGCCACAGAAGGGCTACATATAATCCTGATTGTTAAACCTTCCATGGCCTTAGAGATTTTTGGCAGATTGCCACTCCTGAGCCCATCACCTCAATTGAGATGAAGACAGAGCAACGAAGGAGCACTTTCTTGATCTGCAAAGCCCCAGCAACCAGTCCGGCTGAACAGGCCTCTAAGAACCCAAGGGCCTTCCCAGGGCACCCACCAAATTTGCCCACTTCCATACCTGGATCCTACGTGGATGCTCCTGGCTCAGCACAATGCTCAGATTGTAGGCCTCCACTGTTACCACTTTTGTGTAGGACACCTTCTTGTTGCCTCGGTTATTGTTCTCCACATTGATAGTGAAAGGCTTGAGAGTCGGGTCATCAGAGCAAAGTCCTACCAGCTGGTAGATACAGGTTCCCATGAAATCATACCTCCTTCCATCAAAGCTTGTGTAGTGAAGGTCTCCAGATGCTGAACACGTAGCATAGCTGACGGGGTGACAGCCCCAGACCCCGTTGACCAGAGCGCATTGCTCATTAGCTTGGCAACTGGCTGGCTTGCAGACCACTATCCCCAGAGTGGAATCACACGTGCAGCGGGAACCACAGTTCCCACCAGCCCAGAATTCCTCCCCGGGCTTGTAGTAGAAGCCATTGTAGGTGCAGCCACAGCTGCCTGTGGGCACACACTTGTCGGCGCTGAGGACGTAGCCCTCGTCGCACTGGCAGGTCTCCACACAGGGCTCCTGGCAGGTGGAGGGAGCCGTGCGGTCCGAACAGCTGGCCGGGCAGGCATTCCCACAGAACTCGTAGTGGCTGTTCTCGGGACACTGCAAAGCTGGAGAGGCGAGTGGAGGAAAACAGCAGTGGGGTTTAGCATCCTGCAAACCACGTGCTACAGCCTCAGCCCGGCAAGAACCAGGGTCAGTGCAGAATACCGGGGCAGAATTTAGGCTTGCAAATACTGCTGTACTTCCCAATTAGCACACACACTTCTGATCAGCATCAAGTTCAAACCAACAAGGCTTGCACACACACAGTCACTCTTGGATTTCTCTCAAGGGCTCCTGCCAGCAACCTAATTTTGAGGGAGAAAAGTATTTGAGCAGTTCATCCTGTTGGACAGCTGGGAATATGATCTGCTGCAAATCCTCTGCGAGCCTTAACAGTTTGGGACCTGGATACCTAAAGGAACGCCTTCTACCATATTTGCCCTCTCGCCCCCTGAGATCGGCAGCAGAGGCCCTCCTCCAGGAACCCTCCGTAAAAGACATTAGGAGGCTAAGTACCCAGAGGAGGGCCTTCTCTGTGGTGGCGCCCCACCTATGGAATGCACTCCCCAGAGAGGTCCGCCTGGCACCGTCGTTATTCGTTTTTCAGCACCAGGTAAGACCTATTTATTTAAACAATATTTTAACAATTTTTAATATCATCTATAAGTGTTTAATATGCAGCCAGGGTGAATCTGTATTTTATGTGTACTATTTATGTGTACTATCCAGACAAGACAGAGGTCCTGTTGGTTGGCGGATCGGGCTTCGGAGAGGGTGAATTGAACCTAGTCCTGAATGGGGTTGCACTCCCTCTTAGGGACAAGGTCCACAGCCTGGGAGTGCTCCTTGACCCGGAGCTTTCACTGGAACCTCAGGTGACAGCGGTGGTGAGGAGCGCTTTCCTTCAGCATTGGCTGATTCATCAGCTGCGCCCCTACCTGGAGTACGACTGCCTCGCGACAGTGACACATGCACTGGTGACTTCCCGTCTTGACTTCTGTAACGCGCTCTACTTGGGGCTACCCTTGAAGATGGTCCGGATACTTCAATTGGTTCAAAATAGAGCTGCCAGGCTGCTGACGGGGACTGGGCATTATGTTCACATGACTCCAGTTCTCTGTCAGCTTCACTGGCTTCCCATTGAAGTCCGGGTCCAATTCAAGGTGTTGGTGATGACCTATAAAGCCCGAACCGGCTTGGGTCCTGGTTACCTGAAGGAGTGCTTACATCCATATATGCCCGGCCGCCCCTTGAGATCTGCGGGAGAGGCCCTTCTCCGGGAACCCTCCGTGAACGAAATTAGGAGCATGGGTACTCGGAGGAGGGCTTTCTCTGCGGTGGCGCCTAAGTTATGGAATGCGCTCCCCAGAGAGGTCCGCCTGGCGCCGTCATTATTTGTTTTCCTGCACCAGGAGAAGACCTTTTTATTTAAGTGGCATTTTAATTGTTAATATTATTGGATTTTATCTGGCCAGGGCGGCTTATATTATATTGGTATTTTTGCATTTTTAACTTAATGTTTGTATTTTTTAATTTAATGTTATAATTGTTTTTTAACTTAACGTTGTAAGCCGCCCCAAGGCTTCGGCGAATGGGGCAGCATAAAAATGTTTTAATATATAAATAAATAAATATTGGGTTTATCTACTGTATGTAAGCCGTCCCGAGGCTCATGTGAATGGGACGGCATGCAAAAATTCTAAATCAATAAATCTGCTTTCTGCCCACCCTGCTGCATGCTCTGCATACAGGAATGGTTTGGATTGGCGGACAAAAGGGTGGGCCAGAATTGCCAGCTATCAACAGGCCTCATCTGTCTTCTTGCCCACTGCAACTTCTGCCATTGCCACTGGCCGTCCCTACTCACCACAGCCAGATGGGGTCCTCCAGTCGTAGATCAGGGCACCTGCTTTCCTGCAGGTTTTTGCGTAGGCCTCCAGTGCCTGGCAGAGGAAGCCCTGGGCCCCACCATTCAAGCACACATCGTAAATGCAGCTGTCAAAGAAGTCATCTGGGTTCACTTTGGCATGGCATTCTCTGAAGGGCCCAGCTGAGGCATTCCTGATGATTCCGCAGTGCGCGTTGCTTCCATACAGTTCCTTCTTGCTCTCATCACAGGTTGGGCAGTTGCCCTGGCAGGAATCCCAGCAGAAGGGGTCTCGGTCCTTGACTCTCCAGCTGCTGGCCCAGCTTGTGACGGAGGACACCATGGTCCCATTGGGAAGGGCCATGTCATCCCTTGGGTCCCGGTTGAAATTGCCACATAGGCCACACATGGCATTGTAGTAGCTGCTGGGGAGGGTGATCACCAGGTGCCACTTCCAGTCATACGTCACTTGGAGGCCGAACTCGGTTTGCAGGACAGCACTGGGGCCGCTCTGGAACAGTCGGATCTTTCCCTCTTCAAGAGTCAACGGCAGGCTGAAAATGGCATCATTTAACTGGGGGCAGAGTGACAAAACAGAACAAAACACAGAGGGGATTACTGGTTTCCCAGGAGTTCTCGAGGCCTTATATCTGCACAGACTGGATTACATTCTGTGCGCTCATTGCTCTGGTGCAAGAATGGGAGAACCCACAATTTTGGTGAATGGAACATAAATGAAATCCACACCCATCTCCAGACTGACATACCCTGATTCTTCCAACTTCCTGCTTGTAGATGGAGATCTTGTACCCATAGACAAAGATGTTGGCCAGGCTCACATAGGACACGGCCTGGTTGCCCCTGTTGTCGTTCTTCTCAACTATGGTGAAAGGAACCAATGTAGGGTCGCTTCCACAGTACTTGGCAATGGTGTAAGAGCAGGTGCCCTGGAAATCGAAGTCCATTCCGTCAAAGGTGTGGTAGTGTGGATCCCCCCAGCCCCAGCAGCTTCCGTTGAAGTTGGGGACACATTTGGCCAGTCCATTCTCAATTTTGCATGTTTCCTGCTGTCGACAGTGCAAGGCCTTACACGGATCTGAAATGAAATGAAATGAAATGAAATGAAATGAAATGAAAGGAGAAAATGCAAGTGAGTGCTCGATTCTAAGTAGAATGAATCTATGTGAAGAGCAGGAGATGCATTTCAGCCATAGATAATGCAGAGAATAAGCAAATGGAAAGAACAACACAGGAACCTCACTTTCTCTCCTTATTGCATTAGATCAGCTATGTATCTGTAGGCGCCCTTAGCCATATTCCCCTCCAGAAGTGTGAAAAGTGATAAACAGCAGCAGGTGGAGAAAACAGGCAATCATGAGCTGCACTGTTTGAAGGCCACTGTAAAGAGAACAGTTTTGCTAGTGCCCTCAATGGGTAAGCAGCTATAATTGCTGGGCGTGGGTCACCATCCAAGTGACTTTATTCAGTTGGAAGCGGCAAAAGCCGTTCAAGCAGCAGCCGCACACTGATGTCCCACCAGCTCTTCTGCCATGTCATGGGAATGCTTTCATGGCGGTCGGGCACCCAAAGTCTGAGCTGCTACTTGCACATATGGGGAGTGATGGCATCAAACTTACAGAGGAAGGAGCACCAGGAAGAGCAATGCACATATGCTGTCCCAATACTACATGTTCATGTCGTGGTGCAATACCCATTGAGTGCGGAAGATTTAAGTGGCCAGAGCAGTGGCAGCATGCACTACCACAGCCAGAAAACCCTGCCACATGACAGCCGAGGAGGGGTGGCAAACCATGTGCTTGCTGGCCAGCATGGCTGAATGGTGAACTCCACCTGGTCCACCATGTGCTCCTCAGGCCTTGAACCTGAAGGTCGCCTGGCCTGGCTCATTCAATAAGCTTATCTCCTCACCCTTATGAAAGCAACCCAGGACTCCATCCTGGATCTTGCAGGTCTCATCACGGGCACAGCTGTGGGCTTCACAAGTTACTCCTTGGCTTGGGATGCAGCGGCAGCTCTCTTGGCAGTTATTCAGCAGAACCGTCTCATTGGGCTGGTGAAGGGCAGATATTTTAAATAATATGGTATACAAGGAGCAGAAGTACACATTAGTATTATTATTCTTTTTATACCCCTTATATACCCTTTCATAGCTACACAGATTCCATAGCAGTGGACAACAAAAAGATCATTAGAAGCAGAATATTAATAAAAACAGTGACTGGTTGACCAAGGAGGGCATCCTGAACTAAAGATGCTTTAGGAGGCACTGAAAAAAGCACAGTATTGCTGCCTCCCGACTCTTGGAGGCAGAGCGCTCCAGAGAAAAGGAGCTACCACACGGATGGGTCTCCCCTAGGGGGCTCCTGTTGAGACACAGCTCCATGCAGCAGCACCATGAACAGGCCATCGGATGACTTCAGTCACTAGGCAGGTGGTTAAGGGAGAAGGAGCTCTGCCAAGCGTCCTGCTCCCAAGCGGCTGGCTCTTCCTATGCCAGCACCAAGTCCTTCAACCTGGCCCGGGAGCAGATAGGCAGCTGCTACGCTTCCCTCAGCAAAGGAGCCGCATCTTGAAAGGATTAGCCCCTCGCAGCAGCCGAGTCGCTGCTTGCTGCATGAGCGCCAGCTTCAGGACCAGCCTCTGGAGTTGATCAACATCATCAGCCCAGGTAGGTGTGTCAGGCTGGATGACTCTGCAGCCTGGTCAGCACCTCGTATCAGGTGAGCTTCATTGACTAGCACTTTGTCTCCTCCACATTGTACAGAGGATCATTTGAACATGTCACAGTATATAAATACATTGCATAATAATAGTGATAACGATAATGCCTCTTGTTAAAGGGCTTCTGAGAAATTGTGAAGATGACAGGAAGTGTTTTGATATTTGAGTGGAAGGAATGCGGGACCAAGCAAGTCCAGACAGAAAAACAGGGAAATATAACCTGGTCCATGAGGATGGGTGGTGAGTCCAATAAAAAAGCAGGGAATGGGTGGCTTAGGAGAGCAGCTGACCTTGTAGTAGCGTCCGTTGTGGAAGCAACCGCAGCTTTCTGCGTGAACGCAGCCGAGACCGTCAAAGAAGAAGCCGTCGTCGCACTGGCAGCCCTCAGTGCACGTCTCCGGACATGGCTGGGGGTCCGTGATCTTGGCGCAGCTGGTGGAGCAGAGGTCGGCACAGAGCTGGTAGTGGCTGTTGGCTGGGCAATGCAGAGCTAAAGGGAAGAAAAGGCACATCTGACCTGGAGCTGGGGCTTCATAGTCCCACTCTCAGGAAGAGGGCAGAGGGAAATGTCATCTGCCTGTCTGGAGGAGAGGGGAGGGGAGGGAAGAGAGAGTGGGGGACTGGCAATTAAACTAACATGTCACTGATGCTTTCTCAGACAAGTTCTGTCCAAAGCCGGAACTAGAATGGATTGGGGGGTAAACATTTTTAAGATGCTTCTTTTCCCTCTCAAATTATTTTCCCATTCCTAGCTCTGACATTAGGAATTCTAGCTAGTGTTGGAGTTAGGAGGAAATCAAGATTTAAAGGGATTAACATGAACAATCTGTTCGTCTCAGAGCTGGATTTCAGAGGAGCAGTGTAGAGATGAATTGCAATCCCAACGACCACCTTTGGATTCTGGAGCATTTACTGGGTTTCTGATCTGTGCTGTGCTTAATTTCATTTCTGGAAAGATTTGCTGCCAAGCGACTCACATACTTCAAAACAGAAAACTCCTTTCACAACCATGAATGATGGCTGCGAATCAGGACAGGAAGCCCAGATATTGCATACGTCTCATTCATTCATCACCTTAAAAGAAGATTCTCATCTAGTAAACAATCGTCATATTCCGAGAATAAATGGATTCTTACCAGTGGGATGTAAGAAGTAAATCAAAGTTAATCAAAGCACAAATTACCCATTACTGAAGACCATGGAGACGCTCTAGTACACACATGTAAATTAAAAGAGCAACTTATATTCTAAAATAGTACAGGAGGCACAGCGGAATAATGGCTTAATGACAGTGGATGTGCTTGCCAGAAATGGCTGACAGTCCAGCTGTTCGAGGCCTGCACCGTGTCACAGGGTGATCACCCGTCACTTGCTTCTAGCTGCTGCCCACCCAGCAGTTTGAAAGCATGCAATATGTGAGTAGATATATGGGTACCACTTTAGTGAGTAAAATCTAGCTTCATTGGTGAGAAAAACATGGGAGCTGATTCTGGACCTGCCTGGATGCAAGGCAAGGCATGAGCAGCATGATTGATGGAAGAAATCTGGATGAGCTGACAAGCCAAACATCAGCTGGTCTGCACGTATGCGAATCTAGTTTGCCCCTGCGGAGCACACTAGATCAGCGCATGAGCACGAACAGAACGAACTGGCACTTTGTCAGCAGCCAAACATGTACTCTGTGTGTAACATTGTAGGTTCCTGGCTAATTGTTCCACTGTCACATGCTAAATAAATCTAAAACAGTAATAGCCAAGTAGTGCTGTGGCCATCTTGGACCTACAAATGTTGAGAGATACATGCAGGAATGTCTAGAGAGCAATTCTACGATCCTGGGGTAAGCTCCTGGGGCCACAGATGAAGCTACAATCTTGACAAGTTTCCCCATCCCCTACCCCCAGCTTCAGGGTCCTCCCTCTAGACTGAGGAGGTTCCACAATTCCTGAACTGTTTTGTGAAGTCAGAATCCTGCCTTGAGACATTACCATGGGTTTTCATTTTGCTTACCTTACCTATGGTTTGCCAGAGAATGCCTATGAGTGTGTACTTATTTCTCCTCCAGCCTCCTGCACTTCAGTTAAAGCCCAGGGGAAGAAGGCATCATGAGTCCCTCCCTTCCAGAGGGCTTTTTCAGGGTAGGAAGCACAGGCTGCCTGGGAGGCTGCAGAGCAACGGAGAGATCTGCAGCAGAAAGACACGCATGCACGATGCCCACAGCTCCCTCACAGTGATTGAGCTCTCAGTGCATGCGCATCTCCGTGCTCAGCCATCAACACTCACGGCAGAAGGATGGGTTCCTCCAGGGTTCCACAGAGACCCCAGCCTCTTGGCAGGTGGACACGTAGCTCTGGATGCTCTGGCACAAGATCAGGCTCTCCCCATTGCCCAGGCACACATCGTAGATGCAGTTGTCAAAGTACACACTGGGGTCCACCTTGCTGTGGCAAGCCCTGAAGGGGCCATCCGAGGCGGTGAGGATCCCACAGTAGTTGCGCTGTTTGAAGATGGCCTTCTTCCTCTCCTCGCAGACTGGGCAGCTGCTCCCAGAGCACCCGTCGGAGCAGGATCCTTCTGCTCCAGGGACTGGAACCTTCCAGGCAGCGCCAAAGGCAGCTGCATCCGAAGCCAGTGTGCCATCCTGAAGGAGAAACTCATCCTTCTTTTGCTCATTGTAGTTCCCACAGAGGCCTTCTACATGGCCCCTGTATTTGCTTGGAATGGTGATTGTCACACGGTAAACAAGATTGTAACTCACAAGAAGGCCAAACTCTGTCTTGATCAGGACGTTAGTGCCCTGCTGATAGGCTGTGAGACGCCCATCAGAAAGGACTACGGGGAGAGACTGGAATATGCCATTCACCTGTGAGAAGAAGAGCATCAACAGGTTATGCTTTCTTTGACAAAATGAGCAGAATGCCTGGCCCCTATGCTGCTTGGTCTTTGTCTCTAGCACAGTCACAGGCCCACCTTGCACCAAGATTTGGACATACAAAACGAACCCAAGTTGACCTTTGAAATGATCTACCTACAGAGGACCTCCTCGAGAATGGTTGAACACATGCCCACCTGTGAAGTCTACATACCTAGATAGTGGTGCAGGTAGGTAACATTAGAACCTGGACTTAATGGCCCAGTGGAGAGCCATGGGTATTGCTTCACAGCTGTTCCATGCTTTGCAGCCAGGAAGGAAGGAATGCAAGTTTGCAGAAACTGCAAAGCTAAGGCCTTCTTTTGGCAGAAATCTGTAATTAGCCATCAGAAATTCAAGGTGGCACAATGGAATACGTGCATATGCAATGAGAAGATGACACTTTCCTATTTCTCATGTTAAATTACAACATGAACAGCAACAGGAAAACAACTCGAATCTAATGAGTCAGCCCCAATTTGCAGAAATTGCACTACCAATACACAATTCTTGGTTCCAAATTTGCACAGAAATTTCAACAGTTTTATGGAAACCAAATTACACTCCCCACCACCAACTCATCCTGCTTTTTGCCTTCAGATCAGAAATATTTCAAAATCCACTGAACTCAAACAGAATTATTTTTCCAGAATCACATACCCCTATGAATTTTTTATCCAAACACTAATTCTCTTCGTAAATATATCATCTGGTGCATGCAAATTGTATGCAAACTAGTGTCCTCTTTGGGACTATACCTTTCTTGCCCCTGAGCAATTTGCAAGTGACAACCCTGGTGGCCTGAGAGGGAAAGAGAAAAGGTGGCTGAGTGATGATGGGGAGCACTGGGATTCTCACAGCCTGTTTTGTGTCCAATTCCTGTTGCTGCTCACTTTGTGGGAATGGGAAACTTTCAGAAACCAAGCAGCAACTGAACAAGAGATTTGGGGAAACCTCCCCAAATTCACATGAATCTTTCCTGATTTGTACAGCAAGTTGAACTCCTTGAGGCTACTGTTGTTGGGAGTGAGAAGGACATTTTCTCTTGATGCGTCTTCCCAAGGCATTCCGATCTGGACTAGGAAGGGAAGGAGGACTGGGGGAGGGGAGGGCTTGGAATGTGAGCAATTCCAGAGCTTGAGATGAGAAGCAGAGATGTTTATCTTGAAGCCAGACTCCCTGGGTGGGCAGCCTCTGCAAACACCAAGATGTACAGTTAGTGGGAGGGGGCTCAGAACAGGGGAGTTTTTCATACACAGGTGACATGGGGATGGCTCTGGACCCCAGGACACAATGTTGGGTAAAGGGACCTACCCAATTCGAGGATTGGTGTGCAGAGAGGAGGCATGCTCATTTTCAGAAGGCCCCTCCCAAAGGGACAGGGCCCAAGCATACTCATAAGGAGAGTTCCTAGAAGTCAATACCAGATCAGGTTCAAGGAACCACTCTGTGCATGATCAGACATCCATTCTGGATGTTTATGTTTTTGGAAAATGGTCAATAAAGAACTGTTTGCAAGAAAGGTCTGGGGCTTTGAAGGTGCAAAGGAAGGAAACCTAGCTCAGGACAGTTATGGAAATTTGTACCCATTAAGGCATTGGAGCTAATTTAACTGGGAATCAGGTAAAGGCAAGCCTGCATTCAGCCATGTGCAAATATTTTTGGCAGATTTATGTTTTGGCTCACATTTGGAGCTTCTTGTTCATATGACTATTCAGCAAAAAATTAAAGCTCATATATTCCCAGGAGAAGGCTGCAGAGAGAAATTGAAAGAAAAGAGGGTTAGTTCCTTTTGTATGCATCATTATGGTGTCAAACTTGGAGCAAAGAGATCTGGATGGAAGTCCCTGCTTGGCCATGAAGCCTAATGAAAGACCTTGTGCCTGATACCATCTGTCTGCCCAGTCGACACCACAGGGTTGCTCTGAGGATAAAAAACTGGTCAAGCAGGAGAGTCATGTATGCTGCCCAGAGCATCTTGGAGCAGAGCTGGAGGAACAATGTAATAAATAAATAGCCTTGAGAAGATGAAGATGCTCACCTTGACCACTCCCTTTTTCTTCTGCAGCAAGGCCACTGTGTTGCCATAGGCCTCCACAGACACCATCTTTGTGACTGATACGTTCTTCTTCTTCCAGGTCTCATTTTCCTGCATGACAGTAAAAGGAGTCAGGTCCCTCTTGCCTGTGAGGACAGCCTTGGCAAGGATGTAGGTGCAGGTGCCCTGGAAATCAAAGCGGACTCCATCAAAGGAGATGTAATGGGGATCGCCATAGGCAGTGCATGTGGCCAAACCAACTGGGTGGCATTTCCGGGTCCCGTCCACAACCCTGCACTCCTCGTAGGGACCACAGGAGAATTCCTTGCATGTCACAGCTCCACCAACTTGGCACACACATTCCAGGTTGCATTTGCTGGTTGGGAAGAAGGTTTCCCCAGCCAAATAGTATTGGCCTTGGTACATGCAGCCACACTGATCCATGGGGACACAACGGTCTCCGCTGAGCATGAAGCCTTTGTCGCAGAAACACCCTTCCGTGCAGTGTGTAGAGCACAGCAAAGGCCAATGGAGGCTACTGCAAGCCTGCTGGCAGCTTTCAGTGCAGAGTTCGTAGTGGCTGTTCTGGAGACAGGTTGGCTCTAAGACAGGAGGGGGGAAAAAAGCACAGTTCGCATCAGTTCCATGTTGTTTCATGTGCTTCCTCGGTTTAGATAAGGAGCAAACAACTTTTGGAGAGCATGCATCAAAACAGTCCTGTGTGCCACCCTAAAATGACTGTTATTGGAGGCAAAAGCTTAATAACTTCCTCAAAGAACTGCAAGGAAGGTATAGATGGGTTCTGAGCTCCAACACACTAAACATCTGCTTAGAACCCTGTATTTTCCTCACTACATGGGAGGGCCTTTTCTGTGGTGGCACCCCAACTATGGAATGCTCTCCCACCAGTGATTTGCAAGGCACCTAGCAAAACCTTTCTTTTCTGGTGCACCTATGGCACGAAGTATACTCTCTATATCAACGGCACTGGTTTTAATGTATTAATTTATGTCTTGTTTTTAGTTAATTATGTGTATTGCAATTTTATTCTGTTATATTTAGTATGATTTAAATTGTATTATTTTACTGTTATTTATCAGGTTTTTATTGTAATGGCTGCCCAGAGAGCATGATGCTAAAAGCAGCTTTGAAACAAATCTAATACATAAATAATAAACAATTTCATAGCAATCTCAGCTGCCAATAAGAAAAAACTTTTTCCTGGAGGCAGGGCATCTTAGTGGACTCCAAGGAAGGTGTCGGGGGGTACTGGTGCCCATGGGTTGCCAGTTGCACAATGCGGTGGTTGCTGGGCATTCACCAATTTCCTCTTGGCTCTGCTCAATTTGCAGGAGCCGGCCAAGCACAAGAGGTCCATGGGTTCTAGGGGGCAGATTCTGAAAGGGTTCTTCCCAATCCTACCCCAAGAGTGTAAAACCAAACTGTTTTTCAAGTGCGAGCACCAGTTTAGCTAGTTGTGAGCATTTTTGGAGAATGGGCTCTCCTGCTGCAGTTCAGGGAGTGAGCAGAGCATGGCAGCTCCGGCTATTGGGCAGAAGAGAAATGATCTCAATAAACAGGCAAATAAAGATAAAGGAAGTCCTTGTGGATTCCTGGGTTTATCTTCTTGGCAACAGAAGGCAAAGCAAAATGACTCGCACTTACTCCAAAGTAGGTGGTCCCTCCAGGCGTATATGGTCACCTGCATGGCTTGACAGGCTGCAACATACGCAGCAACGACATGCACCAGCACAGCTTGCCGGCCACCGTAAGTACAGTAATCATACACGCAGTCCAGGAAGAACACTTCCGGGTTGATTGTGCCATGGCACCCCCTGAATGGGCCCCTCTTGTCCACAAGGACTCCACATTCCACACTGGTGCTTCGCTGATGCTGAGCAACTCTTTGGAAGTCTGGACACACCTTTGGGTTCAACTCTCTACATCCTGGCGATTCTGCGACCTTCCAGCGCTGACCAAGGGCTGTTGGATTTGCTGCTGGCATGGCATCCCTGGAGATCAAGTCATCTTGTCTGTGTCCATTGAAGTTGCTGCAGAGACCTCCAAGAGCATCTTTGTAGGTGTTGGGCACAGTGACTGTAACGTGACTTTGCCAGTCAAAGGTGATGGTGACGTCAAAATCAGTTCGAATCACAGCATGCCAGCCTTTCTGGTAGATGAGGATTTGGTCCAGGCCCCTCTTGTAGGGCAAGTTGGTCAGCAAGCCATTCACCTGGGAGCAGAAAGAAAAAGAGAGGTATGGCTAAGAATCTTGCCTTGTGCAGCCAGGCCATGAGTCTACCAAAACTGCCTACATGAACATTCTGAGAGTGTCTTGTGTGGATTCTCTCTCTCTCTTACACACACACACACATACACACCATAATTCCAGGTTTGCTTTTGAAACTTTTAATTGGAACGTATCTCTCCCTTAAACCTGAGCTCCACAATGCTGTCTATTAAATTAAGCCCCATAGGCCTTTTGGCACTTGGCTCCACCTGCCACGGAAACGTGGCCCCAGAGCCCTTCTCCAAAATGGAATATGGCCCTGAGGTTGAAAGAAGGCCAAAACAAGGGATTTGTGCTAGGAATGTATTTGCAGGTGGGGATCCATTGGATTCCCTGGAGCCACTTATCCTGCACTCTAGGCTGCTTTGCAGCAGCCGTGAAACCAAGTTCCTGGCAAGTGTGACTCAGGTGCATTGAGTGCTCACCAGGAATCAAGCCCCACACACTCTGCAAAGAGTGTTCCTCTTGCACACTCCCTGCAACAGCCTTTGTACTGCAGCACCTAATGTGAAAAGTGTGTGACCTTCTTGCTGTGAGCATTCATGGTTTTCTTCTCAGCTTGGCTCACTTTGCAAGAGCAGGCCTAGCATGAAAGGATGTCTACAAATAATGGATGGTCAGATTCTTCTAGCATCCATCCCAGCCCTATTCAAAATCCCTGTTTTGCATGCTGCAGAAGCCATTTTGAAGCAGGGAGAGTTCTTCACATGCACCATCTTTTAGCAACCAGACAGTACTGAGGACTTGGACAAAGAGGCTTTTAATAGAGGTGTTCAGAGAGCAAGTCCAAATTGACTCACCATGACTCTTCCACGATAAGCCCAGCTGACCAATATCTCCAGGCCATAGACCTGAACCTTGACCAGCTTGTTGAGGGATATGGGTCCACCCACTTGGCCTGCATTCTGGACCAAGACCTGGAAGTCAATCAAACCTTGGCTCTTCTTGCTGAGTCCTGTTAATGTGTAGAGACAGGTGCCCTGGAAGTTAAAACTCTGCCCATCAAAGCTGTGATAATGAGAGTATCCAAAGGCAGAGCACTTGGCGTAGTCTGTTGGATAGCAGTCCTGTAAGCCATTCTCCACTTTGCATTGTTGCCCATCCTTGCAGCTGGCAGGCTGGCATTGCACTTGCCTGCTTCGCGGGTCACAGATGCAGTGCCTCGTGCAGGTGCTGTCCCCCCAGAACTGCTCATTGGGAGATAAGAGGCGGTCTTCAAAGAGACACCCACAGGCAGCCTGTGGGATGCATTGCCCAGCGTCCAACACAAAGCCCTCATTACACTCGCAGGTCTCCATGCACTGCGAAGAGTTGCAGTCGGGAGGAAGAGCTTGGTTGTTGCAAGTGGCAGGACAGGCCGAGCCACAGAGCATGTATTGGCTGTTCTCAGGGCAGGACAGAGCTTCAAGGAACAGAAAAGACAAAAGGGAACCGTTTTCATTCCTTTCCGGTATTATTTTGTCAGACACTTCTTTGGGAGTTTCCTCCACACAGTGGGAGCTCCAGGTTTTCATGGACACTTCTGCAAGATAGCTTTAATGGGCACACTCCCTTACTGAGTCAACTTCCTGGTTGTCATTGTCAGCAGTTGCTCCTGAGAAGAGTCACGCTGGACCAGACCAGATCCATCTGGACCAACTGTGACCAACCAGCTGACCACAGGAATCCCACAAGCAGGATGTGAGTGCAGCAGCACCTTCCCACCCAAACCACTGGTGTCCTTGGGCACCTTTCCTCTTTAACTGGAGGTGGCATAGAGCCATCAGATCCAGTGGCCATTGACAGCCTTCTCCTCCATGAATTCATCCAACCCCATTTTAAAGCTATCCAAATTGGTGGGCATACACTTCATCTTATAGGAACAGGACAAGCAGCAGCACCTGCAAACCAAATCAGCTGCTGTTTACAATTTTTACATGGAGCACAAGAGCAGAATCTTTGGGGAGCAAAGATGACCATCTGGGGCGGGGGGCAATTCCAGCCCTCTGGATGTTCATCCCTAGAAGACCATGCCTCTTCCCCAGTCCCATCCCTTTCCCCCAGCCACTAATCTTTTGCTGGGTTTGCATTCACCCTGCACTCTAAGAGCTTGAAACGCCTCTCCTAAAGCTGAGTTGCCAGTGGTGTGAGCTTTCAGTTAAAATACGTATTTTGCACCTAGCCTTTTTTCTCATTGTGTCAGTCACATGAAGCCCCAAGAGGTTCTTCAATGGAATTTGGCCCCTGGACTGATGGAGGAGCCACACCCTGACCTAGAACATCTGAAGTATACCTCATACTTCACTCTGCCACCCAAAATCTGCTTTGCATGTCTGTGAGTTATTGCTTGGGTTTGGGGGTTGTTTAAATCTTTGTATTATATGTATAGATTAATATAGAAATGATGATCTGGGATTGGACCACCAACTTGCAAGATACACAGTGCTCATGAATCCATGTTTTACAACCATAAGAGGGGCTAATTCTTAGAGAACTGACCCTATTAAATTTAGCACACAACAAACCTGCCTCTAGCTGGTCCAGATGCAAATGAATGCCATTTTCCATTTGGAACTCGCATCCCATAGGAACAAGGAAAGTTTGGCTTTTGCTTTGGCACTCCAATGCTGAGCCCACAGTGAAGCAAGTCAGAAAAGAAAGGCAGGTGGTGGAGATGGACCACATTAACTCCAAGAAGAGTTAGACGAAGGCAATTTTCCAGCTATAGTTTGCTCCGGAAAGTTGAACTTTTGGGGGGCCTTCAGAAAAACGCACTCAGTGGACCTCATCCTCCTCACCATTACCTCTTTGACACCGGTCTTTTATTGTGTTAACCAGTGGCCCAAATTTACACCTTGTAGAGACTCAATGAGGCCTTTACCTATGCCTAGCAGAAATTAGAGCTTCAATGTCAGTGGGGCAGTGAGTTGTAATCTGAATTTCTAAGGAGCTATCCATGGTGCTGAATCTGTTTTGGTGGTAGTTGGTGCCCCACCAACCCTGGAATCCCCAATCTCCACTGGAAACTCAGAGCTGGCTGTCTACCTTCTCCTGAAAACTCTTAAGGAAATACCACAGCCTCCTAAGGTAGCCTGCTTTGCTGCTAGAATGCTTGTATGCTTAAAAATATTATCTGCTAGAAGATAACCTGTACCTTCTTCAAGTTAAAATGCATCTACCCTTACATTCTGCCAAGCCAGAAATGCAAGAAGAACTGAGAAGCAAAGTTTCTCAGATGATGGGAACGTCTTGGTTTTGTCCTTAACATCAGAAATACGTTGCCACTGAATACAGAAGTTTTATTTAGCTATCACGGCCAGTAAACATTGGCAGATATATTTTCCAGGTTTTTTCTAGCCTTTTTAAAGCCATCTAAACTTATTATTGTCATTGTAACTGAGATTGAGATTGTCAACATCCTTACATTTATATCCTGCTTTTTTTCTTCTTGCAAGGAAGCCAAGACAGCTAGTGGTTCATTGTTATGTTTTGCATCAAAGAATCAAGGTTGGACTAGAGTTAGCAATTCAACAGGGAAATGGAGTCTGCCCACCAGAATCACAGACATTAACATTTTTCATTAATTAAGAAAAAATCTAGCCTTTGACAAGATTTCAAGGCATTGCAGTGATATATAGCAATCATCATGTCATAAGCTGGCCTTCCCCATTTTCTTCCAGGTATCTTGGACTACAACTCCCATCATCCCCAAATGCATGATCAGGAGATGATGGGGTTGTAGTCTAAAGCATTGGACATGACCCACATTGGTGATTCAACCAAAAGAAAATTTATTCCACTCACAGCAGCCTGTAAGTCTCCTCCAATCTGATAAGGTTGCGCCTTCACTCTGGCAGGCATCAGCGTAGCTCTTCAGTGCTTGGCATAACACCTCTTGGTGGCCTTTATAGATGTACAGGTCATAGGCACAGTTTTCAAGAAAGATCTTGGGATCAACAAGGGGGTGACATTGGCTAAATGGACCGTTCTTTCTCTTGCTGATCCAGCCACAGAAAGGTTCCGCTTTGTATTTCTTCAGCATATTCGTGGTGACCTCGCTGCATTCTCCACGGCAATCACTCCAGCAGAGCTTGTCTCCATCCTCCACCTTCCAGCTCTTTCCGAATTCTTCAGGGCTGAGGGCCAAAGACCCACTTGGGGTCCTAAAATCATCGGTGGGGTTCCCATTGTAGTTACCACACAGACCACAGATTTTCTCAGAGAAGCTTCTGGAGATCTTCACCAACAGCTGGCTGTTCCAGTCATAGGAGACCCACAGGGAAAAGTCAGTTGCAACGAAGACAGAGGTCCCTCTCTGGTAGAGCCTCAGTCTCCCATCATGCAGGGAGATGGGCAGCCGGGACCGCTGATTATTCACCTGGTATAGCAAATATGATTATTAACTGTTAGTGAGTGGTTCTTCTGACAGGGTGGCAGATGGTCTTTCCAAACTTGATTATCTAAAGGTATATTAAATGACAGCTCCCAGGATCCCTAAGTTGGGCTTGACGGAAGCTCCAATCCAAAATATTTGAAGGGCACCAGGTTGAGAAACTCTGCCTTATATGTTAACTGGCTACTAGAGACATGATATGAGAAATGGTCACTATAATTAAGAGAAAAGAATGATGATGCTTACCCTGACTAGGCCATATTCGCTTCTGGCCACGCTTATGTTATAACCATAAACCTGGACCATCACCAGCCCAACATAGGACACACTCTGAGTGCCCCGCTTCTCATTTTTGGCTGTGATATGGAAGGCTGGGAAAGTTGCATCCGGCCCACAGGTCTTGGCCATGGTGTAGGTGCAAGTGCCCATGAAGTTGTATTGCCGCTTATCAAAAGTCTGGTAGTGAGGGTCGCCCTGGGCCCTGCAGGTGGCTGTAGAGCTGGACATGCATATTGGTTTGTCATTAATCATCTGGCAAAAATGATTCTTCTGGCACCGAATGGAGCGACAGGAAGATGGTGGGAAATGCTGTAGGTCTGGCAAGAAAAGCCAACAGATTAGTGTAACAGTAGGGAGAAGAGGAATGAAGTGGGGCAGGAAGGGAAATGGGGGGAAGCGAAGGACAGGACAGATGGGGAGATATCCATGGAAGTGAACAGGCAGGGAGGGATCAAAGATTTTTGATTTATACTTCAATCAATGCCACAAGTTAGGTTCTAGAATACTGATTACATTAATTAAACAATTTTCATGTCATAGTACCACTCAAATATGTAGGGAAAAGGGTGAGAAGATTGTCCTGAAGATCCCACACCTTTGGTGTAGTATTAACACATTTCATGTATACTTGGAGAAGGTCTGGAGACCACCTTCTGGTCACCATTCACTTCTTGAATCAATAAGTCTCACATCATTTCTGGAAGATGACCAGGTTCAGCTTTTAGCAAGCCTTCATGGGAAGTAACTTTTAGGGGCAGCCACTGAGGTTACCTTTCCTGCAAACTTGGCACCGTGCAGAGATGAAAACTATTTATTTATTTATTTATTTATTTATTTATTTATTTATTTGGAATTTTTGTATGCCGTCCCATTCGCATAAGCCTCAGGACAGCTTCCAACATTATAAATAAATACATATATATAAATACATACATATATAAAATATAAAATCCGGAAACATCCTGGCATCTTAGGAGAGTGCTCTTTGGTCAGTCTTAAAGGTCCTGCTGGACCTCTGCAGTGGAAGTGGCCTCTAATTCAAGGGCGAGCAGAAGATTGACTGGAATCTACTAATGGATCTTTGGAAGATTTGCCATAGATCAGCAAACAGCTTCTCTCCAGTTGATTAGCAAGATCAGCAACAACTCCCATTGTTAGGTGGTGGCTATTTAAGGTCTAAAGTAATAGCAACTCAGATTTAGGTTTTTCATATGGGTCATCCCAGTGTATGGTTCATAAGGGGAAGTACTGTCTCTTCACATACACCTCTAAGTCACCATTTTATGTCTGGCTCCTGTTAGTGGATGTTGGGGTTCTAGGGAAAACAACAACAAAGTAGATCCTCCCCTGCTCTAAGGGATATTGGACCTTGGTCCATCTGAGCATTATAAAAGAGCTTGGGAATACGTGAACAACATAGCAATAAATACAAACATACCCAAGAATGAGGGAGAAGGAAACGTTTTAGGAATATCTGATTCCTCCATTTTATTTTTCAACATAGAAGGGGGCGTTGGAGGAGTGAAAGCCCCCCAGATGATCAGGAGGAGGATATCTATCCCTCCATTGGAATAGGGTGAAAAGCATTTTACGATTTTATTTTATTTTTAACTTGTATTAGATCACATTAATTTTTCCCTCCTCCTTCCAGCCCTTCTCCAAGCTTAATGACTCCATTACTCACCTGTTTTGCAGAGTCCGGCTGAACCGTAGGCATTCCTCTCAGCAAGGCCAAAACTTAGCACACCAAAGTGGTTAACTGGATCAAATAGTTCATGACTTGTTCCTTCCTCCCCAAGGTAATATTCACTCCAGGAATATTCTGTTCCTGGAATCGGTCTCCAAGAAACAACACCCAATGAGTGTTTGTCTATTGTGATACCACCGATGGCAGTGGTCTTTGCAATGATGTGCACATAATTCTCAAAGTTTACCTGTTCCTTAACAGAGTAGTGTCTACAATACCTGGATGTGTCAGGGATACTAATGAAGTAGGGGTCAAAATTGAGATGAGAATGGATACCACCGGTGCAGAAGAGGAAGACCTGGATGCCAACGTTGGCTGTGATATAGATGGGACTAGAATGGGTGACTTTCAGCTGAAGCACCTGCCCAGCCACAAGGTTGTAGTTTCTATGCAATCCACCAGAGACACAAGTGAGTGAGGTGGTCTGGGAAGCAACTACATATGCAAGGTCAAAATTCATCTGGAAGGACAGTGGGGGAATAATGAAGACCCGGCCCCAGATAGGCACTGGCAACAGTTGTTCCATCACATGATTGCAGTGGGTATTCTTTTGGGCACAAGTATGCCCACTCAGCACTGCCACAGGCTTCTCTGATTTGATGAAAGTGCCAGAGAGATCTTCAAGGCTCTGGAGCTGAATGGCTTCATAGGGTGAAAGAACAACATTCAGCTTGCTACCTGCTGGATAGGTCTTCTTCCGAAAACTCACCTTACCCTTGAGGTGGATTTCCACTTTTGTTTGCTTTTCCCATGCAATGACAGAGAATTCCTTGTATGTGTTTGGAAACTCTCCCAGAGGTGTGAGGACATAGTATTCCACTCCTAGCTGATTGACAGGGTAGACAACCATAGTGTCAGCTGAATTCTTCTTTGAGCTGAAGGCCAACACGGTGACATGGCCACTTGATTTCACCATGACTGTCTTGCACAATTTAGCAGTGCCACCCATCTCCAGATAAGTTGGAATCTTCACCACTGCAGTCTGACCCCGAAAGATGGTCAGCTTACTCATCTGATAGAGTTTGCAGATCCAAACGGAGACAAGGGTGGAAGGTAAGTGACCTGAGATAAAAAGCTGGAACTGAGCTTCAGAATAGTCCAATTTGTAGTTTTGCATGAAAGCTGTGATGAACACCTGGCCAGTGGGTGCTGTAGCATGGAGGACTGGAAGGAATGGGAAAAGCAGGAAATCAGTGTTGAGGTTGCAGTATGTGCATCCTTAGGGAGGCTGAAACTCCCTTGCTTTCTAAAACTGCTGAAGGTAAGAAGAGAGAACCCTGAACATAACTCATTGGGCAAGTTCGCACTACACAATAAGCCACAATGGATCTTTTAACACTGTTCTTTAAAGCAATAATGTAATGGTAATGTACTGTCATCCAAACCCTATTGTGGTATTTCCACATGGTACAGTTGGTCTTAAGGAACCGCAAACAGAAAGAACAGTGTGTTCTACACTTTCATAGTACCATAATGGCTTTTGTGTTTACTGTACCCAGAAAACACAATTCATCACGTTATGACCAGAACTAGAAAGCAGCTTGGCAAAAGCTGCCCGTTACCACTTGTGCCAAGTGGCTAGCCACATTCTAGTAGGAGAGGTTGCTGAAGGTGAAGGGGAAGTGGCAGGGCCAACCATGCAAAATGCATCCAAATATTGAAATTTGTAGCTCTTAGTGCCAGTAACCAAGCCTTAAAAGATGTGTTTCAACCATTCCATTCCTTTGACCTTTTTTTAAACAATATTTTAACAATTTTTAATATCATCTATAGGTTTTTTAAATTGCAGCCAGGGTGAATCTGGATTTTATGTGCACTATTTGTACTGGGTTTATTTATTATATGCAAGTTGTCCTGAGGCTCATGCAAATGGGATGGCATACAAAAATTCTAAATAAATAAATAAATTCAGGATGTGAGAAAATTGCACAAAAGCTGGGAAAGCACCCAACAGCCATTGTCTGGGGGAAGGAAAAGAGTCCATGGTGTTCTGGGGGAATTTAGGACAGATTAGAAGTACTTGGATTCAATCTGGTTTAAAGTTCCTACCCCGACCCTAATTCCTGTGTATCAGTGGGGCTCTTCATTCAATGCAGCCACAGTTTACAGGATCTATCCATGGTGCTGAATGGTGGTAACCTTATTCTGTGGATGAGGTTCAGTACCATGAACAGTTCAGAAGAAAGGGCTGAGATGGATGAGAAGCCCAACTGGTACAGGAACCACCAGCTTTGCTGACCGTATACATAAAGACAGTCCACATTTTAACATTTCTGCTGAAGGCAGCTTGTCTTTTCAGCAGTGTGCTAGAGATGCCGGACAAATCCCCATGGCCCTCTCACATGCACTTATAAAGCTTCGAAGTCTCTCAGCAGGGGTCCCCCATCACCAACCTGGCACCTTTGCACAAGCACTGGAGCCCAAACACCCCAGCAAGGCTCACTAGCATTGGCCATGACATCTGTGCAGACCACCCTGTCAAGCATTCTGTGGCACTGCGGGAGCTGAAAAGTAGCTGTAGCTTGGTGGTGTGGCTAAAGCCAGCATTCATACTCCTCCCATCCCTCTTTCCTTCTGGAATGGCTAACGTGAATGTTGACCAAAGAAACAGAGCTTTGGAATAACCAGCGCAGGCCTAGTCACTCTGCTTTTCAGAGTGATTAAGCAAGGCTCAGTGCTGACCCCACAAAACAAAGGTTGGTTGCTGAACATTGACAATTTGCCTAATTGGAAGCAAATCTCATTAGGGGAGTCAATGTCTGTTTTCTTAGGAACTTTCTTGATTCTGACCTGCTGCCCGTTGTTATCTGAGCAGATAGATTGTGAGTTACTAATCAATACTTGTTAAATCCGTTCATCTCCATTTCATAGATTGTCAGGTGCCAATGGATCATCATTCACTGAATGATGGAACGAGGTTTCGAGCAAATTCCCATTTCCAGAGAAGCACAAATACCCTGTCCCAAATGTGCATTTTCACCTTTAGTCTAGGGTGGAAATATGCATTTTTGGTCTTTTTATGCTCTACAGCTTTAAAAAAATGAGGACAAGTTAACAACAAAAGCAAAGACAGCCTGCAAGTCCACAGAATCCATGCTGCTCAGGGAATGCTGGTCTGCTCTACAGTCCATGGGCCTGAGTCATAGAAACCTGGGCTCACTTGAATCCTTCATGGATTTCTCTGACAACCCAGATCCCAGCATAGTTGTAAGCCATGGCTGAGACACTGTTCCCACTTACCCTTGAGCAAGGCCAGGCCCACAGCAATCTGTAGAAGCATCCTTGCCCCCATGGCTGTAAGATAAGAGAATAAAGAATGATTAAGGACCATGGGAAGGGCATAATAATAAGACATAAATGGTGGCCAATTGTCCACAGCATGGGAGGCAAACTAGAACAGCAGAGCTGGGGAGCAGTTCAAGGTTTTAGGCAGGCCATTTTTCTTTTGCAAATAGTAATACTGTGTTAGAAGATGCCCCCATCTGTAGGGCTGCATATCAAGTGTCTGCACCTGGGCAGCAAAATGAATAGGCAGGCCCACAGTTCATGTCGTCCGAGTTGTCTACACCATGGTAAGATATAACTCTGTATAAATTATGGTAATTATTCCTAAATTTGCAGCTTGATATGTATTAGCATATCCAAATTTTATGCAAATCACCATTCTCCTTAATCCTTTTTCCTTTGCAAGGTAGGTACAGCACCAGAGATAGCTCCTTTGAAGTTCTGACAAAAGGGTGGAATGGACACACTGACATGCAAGCCCCCAGCCTCCACTTCTTGCAAGAGTCCCACAAGGTCCAGCTAGACAAGGGGCATCTGACTCCCAGACTGGCTAGAAGAATTACAGAGCTTGTTGTCAACATCTGGTATTCAGAGCTGTATTGTCATACAGATGGAAATTCAACTTAGCTATCTTGGCTAGTAACTACTTATAGACCCAGCTTGTACAAATCTGTCAAATCTCACTTTTAGAAATGTTGTATTTGCTATATCTGCAAGGATTACCTTGATTAATCACTTACAGTAAATTGATTAAATTCCTTTTAACAGAGGTGCCTCTAAGTAAAAAGAAAGCAAAGTTAATTACTAATACTAATTGAAGATTGAATCCGGATTTAGTCAAACACAGGACAGTCAAACACAGATTTAGTTAAATCTGAAATTCCTCAGATTTATGCTAGTCATGTAGCTAATTGGTTACAATAAGTCTGTAGCTAATTCTGGATCCAGCCATGTGTGTGTGGTGTTCGCTGAGAGCATCATCATAGAAGAAGCTTTCTGTCTTGCATGGTGCAGAATGCCTTTTATTTATTCATTTATTCATTTATTTGGAACACTTACATGCCGTCCTCGGGGCGGCTTCTGAGAACACTTGTCTTAGCGAGTACATTGTCATCTAAGAGCAAACAATGCTTCACATGCACACACGCACACACACTTTCTTCAGAATTACTGATCTTTACTAATAAGCAAATGCATTAAGTGAGGATTGTCCATTTGATCCATCAGTTATGGTTCTCCTAAGTTCTTCCATACCAGGGGAAGAAGGTAGGAAAAGCCTGCATTCTTTCACACTCCCTGTCCGTTTCACAGGTAGCTGAACAGAAGTGATGACTTACCCGCTGGGGAGTGCCTGCCTTTCTCAATGCCAAGTCTGCCAAGTTTATATAGAAGGGAGTCCCCAACCCATTAAATGTGCAAATGTGGCAAGTTAAATCATTGCTTCCTGGAGGCGGGACAGAAAGCCTGGTTATGAGTCAACTCAAATTCAGTTCTCCTTAACCTGGATGTGGTTGAATTGTTTGAAAAGAGATTAGTTCACAATATTACATTTTAGTCCAAAGGCTTTTGGGGGTTCTTCTTGACCTTGAATGTGTTCCCAGCCAAGCTAAAGGAACATTTGAGGGCACCTCCTTTTGTTACCCCATCCTATACATGCCTAAGCAGAAACGTAACCTGCTACTATGATTGGTGTGATTTGCTTCCTGCTAATTTTGAAAAGTACTGTGGCCTCAACTCTTTGGGGAGAAAAGCAACCCTAAATGTCCTTAACAGTGGAATCCTATATCTGTCTATTCATACTAAGTACTGCTCATTTAATGCAATTTACTCCCAGGTAATTATAGGATTACAGTCTTAATTGCCAGGTGAACAGATTTGTCTATTTCCAGTGTGCATCAGAGTCACATGCCCATATGTATGTTCAGGAATGTGTGGCCTTTGACCACAGAATGTGTTCAAACACATGAAAACCACTGATACCTTTTTTTTCCAGTTATGCACCTTCAAAATGTGCCTGAAGTGAGTTTGCAAGAGATTTTCTACTTGAGTATCTCTTGCACTATTTCAGCTAAGAATTGAAATGGCTCCACCTCCAGGCAAATGCTGGAGAAAGTCCCTTGTCAATTTCATATTGACAGACTTCCAGGGGCAGCATCACTTTGATGAGTTCCCAAGTCTTGCTAACCCACACTAAGAATAAACCACCATAAACAACCCAGCTTGACAGTCTATCAGGCAAGTTTTTGCTGCTTGGGCCAGGTAGCTCCCTTGGTATTTTAAATGGCTCATGTTCTTGAAACAACTCCTTCAAGTTTGAACATTTTGTCAAGCAACCCTGAAAACAAGATGCATTGGAAATAATGCACCCCAGGCAGCACTGTTATAAATCTTAGGGCACAATCCTTCCAGGGTGATTATAAGCCCTCTAGCCTGGAGGCTTATGGGCATCCCATGCAGAGCGGGAAAAGCAAGGGAAATTATCTTTGCCTCCCCAGTTCACATGCTCTGCATCTTTTGCTAGGTGGCCAAGTCTAGCTATAGTGCTTTAGAGGAGGAGGGAAGGAGACTACAGCAGCTTTGGGATACCTTGAACCCTGACCGCTCTAGTCTGTCCTCACATCCCTTTGACCTCGCAGCTGGTGTGGTTCTTCTCACACAGGCTACAAGAGGGTGGGAGAGGGCCTCAGAATTCGAGTTCCCAGCTCTGAATTTGGTCAGCTGCCTCCAGACTCAGAACTGGGAATACATTCTATACTGTGACCCCTCAGACAATATTGAAGGACCAAAGGGTTGTCTAATATTTCCCACAAGCTTGCTTGTTCAGTAGTTTGCTAAACCTTCATGTCAATATTTGCTGCCTCCTTTTCACTCATCGCAATCATACCAACAACAGATAATTAATTCTTTATTGACTGAAAGCATATACAACAGGAGGATTAAGAATTCCCCGCCAAGCTTTTTCTTCAGCACACACATTTGATTTATGGTATTTACTGCATTTGGTGATGTTCTATGTCTGAGAGCCTTATTGAAAGACTTACTCATGAATGAATCAAACTTGTCAAACAATAAGGACGTTCCCATCAGGGCCAGTGTCAAGGGCAGACATGCTTCAGCCCTGCCAAAGGCCCATACTCCAAGCCAGGACCCACTATGAGGGGCCTCCTGGAGTTGTCCCTCTTGATCACTTGCCTCTTCTCCATCCCAGACAACTGTTCGGAGAAGGGGGCAGAAGAGCAGCAGGTGCAAGAAGGTAGCAGCTCCCTGGCTCTCTGTCCATCAAGCAAGCAAGCGGTAGGCGTGCTGAGAAGGTGGGCAAGCAGTCAGAGCAGCATGGAAGAGGTGGGCCCATTAAGGGAGTGGGTCCATGGAGGGGGTCTTTCCCAAGGACATCCAAAACCCTGGAGGCAGCGCCACTTTGCAGCCATAGGAAGCCCATGAAGATAGCTTTGATTCCAGAATGCTATGGCCCTGCTAGGTCAGACCATCTCGTTCAGCTGTCTGCATCAAGGAGAAGACAGTCAGATGTGTCTGGAAGCACATGAGATTATCATGACAAAAGATGGAAGGCTATGGCTAAGAGCGCTTCCATCTCTTTCGGAAAACTTGCACAGGTAAGATTAAGAATTCAGCAGCCCTTCACCATTTATGGCAGGACTGCAGAAACAGACCTGGGGGGCAGACTTGGCCATCCTGAGGTCCCAGTCTGGCCTATGTGGTCCCACCCACTCCACCCCACAACTCCATTCCTTTGGCAGCTTCCTGACTTAGGCAGTTTTATCTGCATTCTTAATGTTAGTAAGTTCCCCATTCTTAAGTTTAAAACTTAGTTACCGGTACTAATAGTTTTAACCCTCATCCTACACACATCAACAACGGCTCAATTTGCATCCTTGAGATAATTTTGGAGGCAAGAAAAACACTCACAGAAACCTTTGTTCAGGGTGGAATTTTCTCTCAATTAACAAAAGAGTGGTTTTCAGCTATCAGTAAGTATGGGGAATCTAAATTTTAATTCTTCCTAAGGCTGTGCAAAATTGAAAAAGAAAAAAAAACCCCTATAGCAATAACAGGCCCACTGATTTATTTTTGTAGCATAACAATTATGTCACTTCCTAACTTTAAAAAAAAAAATCATAGCACAGCTTTCCCTTAATGAATTTTAGTTCTGTTTGCTGGAAGCTTTAGCAAAGAAAATTAGAGCTTTAAAAGGAGACAAGATTATCTGTATTGAACCTTGCTGTGTGCCTTTCTGAGGAATCCTGCTGTTTGGGGTGTAAAAGTACCCCACACAGCTATGCCTATAGAAATTCTGGGATACTCTTGTGCCTTGGGTGCATTTCTTTTAGCCAAGGGTGTTTGGGGTGTTTTGAGGGTGTTTTGGAGCAGGCAGTTTGTGACAATATCCTAGAAAATTGAATCAGAATTACTTATTTATAAATTATAGTACAGAACATGAGCTAGGAAGATTTTGGTTACTCCAGAATGCAGGATAAGTTACAATGTACAGGTACCGCTGTTATTTTAGCCCCACACCTCTTGCTGATGCCTTCAAAAAGGGCAGCCTCCAAGATCTTCTCCAAAAATGAATGTTATGAATGGCACAGGTAATTTGTTATCAGTAGTTCTGAACCACTTGGAGATTTGTAATATTAATCTGTACTTAAGTACGATTGAAAAATAAATGGCATGTGATGCTAAATGCAGCTTTCTACCTAATAGGCAAATAAAATAGCATCAGCTGCAAGGGGTGGGTTACTAATGGCATCAGTTCATGGGAAAAAGATGTAACCCTTACTTCCCTGTCTGGCCCCTGGAACACCACCACCACCACCCCGCCGCCCCCAGTCTGGTATTTGCATTGGGAGGAAATCTATCATCAGCATAAGTAGATTTGTCAACTCATGATAAGCTTTGCAGGGTGTGATGTTATGCAAAGTTTGCAAATGGCAGCTGCCATGTTTTGTCCACAAGCTGGGCAGTGTATGGGAAGAAGTGGCAGGGTGAAGTTGCTGGAAATGCCCCTAAGAGGAAATCATTTTCACTCTAAATCTAGGAGACAAACTTTCTCAGCCCCACCTTCTCTCTACATGGGCATTCTTCCAAAAAGGTCAAATAGTGGACATGATGCCTCCTTCAGCATTGACTAAGCATCCCTTCCCTGCATTTGGAAGTGATCTAATCCTTCGCATGCACCAACAGAGGCACTAAAGTGCTGGATGCTGGGAAGTGAGCACAACCTGGGTAGCAGAAAAGAAATGTTGATAGAGCCAGCGGGAGTTCCTTTATTGCAATGATATTCTACCTTTTCCTCTTACAAGGATTCCAAGGCAGCTTCCCTGGTCCTTCTATTTTATTTCATGAGAGGCCTGTGAGGCAGATTAGGCTGGCAGGCAGGGGCTGTCCCCAATCACTCGGTGCGCTTCATGACTGAGACAGAACTAGAACTTGGAGCACTCAAGTCCCTCCACCACTACACCACACTGGCTGTCCTTTCAGCTGCTTTAGGTTGCCCAATGGCTTAAAGAAAGACAAATGCCACTTCCACCATTTGTCTCCATCGTATTGCTAGTGCATAGCTCTCTTATTCCCAATCATAAATGGAATTAAAATTAAATTAGAATGAGTGGGAAAATCAGGAGGGCTCCATTTGGGGAGGGGGGCATCATAGAAACCGAGCAAGTCAGCAGGGACCTCCCAGGCCATCTAGTTTGACCCTCAGCTCCATCCAGCTCTGCTCATGACATGCCTTCCACGTGCATGTCCAGCCTATCCTTGAACGCCCTCACTGATGGGGCTTCAATCATAAAACTCCCTTCCCACTCACTCACATACAGATTCCTCTATTATTGAATAGCCTGCACTGTTGACTAAGCCAGCCTCCCCAAACCTGGTGCCTTCTGGATGTTCTGGTATAAATGTCCCAACAGCCCTAACCATAATCCAAGGCCTATGGGATTCATAGGAGCTGTAGCCTAAATCCCTGCAGGGCACTAGACTGGAAAAGGCTAGACTATCACAAAAGATGCCTTGCATGCATCAAAAACTGAAGGTTCTCCGAGTCCAGCTATGTGAGGATGCCAGCTAACACAGTAAAATCATTGTTGTCTTATTAAAATTACTAATTGTCTTCCTTTCAGGACAGAAGTTCTCCCAAAGTGGAAAAAGCAATAATGCATAAAATCAGCGCACAATCAACATATTGATCTGACTCACTCTAGGAGACTCAACAGTTGAGCTTTGGTTTTTCCTTGTTTAATAAACCATAGAATTAAGTGTTCCTATCTATTTGCATAGGGTTGCTCTCTCTTTGCACCCGTCCTTGGCCAAGCACTGGGTTCCAGTGTCTGTTTACATGCACAGGACATGCTCCCCATGTGCAAGCACCTCCCATGCCCTTTGCCCTGAACACATGGAACAATATATGCACAGGATAAACAAGCAAGCCCATTGTACTGGACTCTTTCTTTCAGGAAAAAAAAAATCCCAATAGAGTTATATGCAGATTTACTGAAAAGAAGAGAGGCTAAAAGAGGGCTCAGTATTTCAGTTGCAGAACTGGAATTTAATGGTTTAGCCTGTCAATATGACAACTTCTATTATTCTGTCCTTGTGACCCATGACCAAGGTTTTCACTGGTTTTTACTTGGCTTGTAATTGCTGTGTAGGTTCATATTACTATAAAACAGGGTTAAACAGAAACTGCCCCTGTATTAGCTGAAGGTGTTAGTCTAATCAATCACCTCTCAACCTATTCAGATATTTGGAGATTCTCACTATAACCAAGTACAGGAAGAAGCAAGATGGGGCATTCCTGGGGTTCTGACCCCCTTTTATAATACCAGCCAAGGTCTCCTTCCCTTTTTTAATGAGCACATTTTCTTACTGGCAGGAGGGGTTGCTGCCATACAGGCATCCGCTGGTGCTGAAAACTGAGGGTTCAAAGGAGTTCCGTGTGTTGGGGCTCGAAGAGTTGTCAGTCATACAGAAAAAGGCCACAACCTGCTCTGTCACCCAGGACTACAGAGTGCGAAATAATGAGCTTAAGATACAGGAAAGCAGATTTTGGTGGAACAACAGGAATGAGCAGGAAGAACGATGGCTCCAACTGCCTAGATAGGTTCTCTGTTGCTATTGGTATTCCAGCAGAGACTTGATGTCCCTTTTTCAGGGGTGTTTTAAGCTGGATCCCTGCCCATAGCAGGGGGTTATTGCCGGAAGTCCTAAATGTCTGGGAGTCTCTTTTTCCCATACGTACCTCCTGTGGGGCTGCAGCTAGACTCACAGGGCAAAGGGAAGTCATAGCAGGTGGCAGGTAATGTCAGCATCCCTAGTAATGAAACTGTGCTGGGTGTGGCACTTATCTGATTCCCTGCACTGACTAGACCCCTGGCAACACAAAACACCATTCTAGTTGCACTCAATGTTGCAGGCAACTTTTGTAGCATTCAGAGTACACCAAAACTGACACAATTGTAAGCATGGAGGTGGCAAGGTCTGCTTTAAGGCTATGTTGTCATCTAATTCAGGAGAGAATATTGAAATACTTTGCAAACATGATCGAGGGAGTCCCATGCCCATGGGAAGAAAGAAACAGAAGGGAAACACACAATCCTTAGGAAACAGTAAAAGCAGATCAGGATCAAAGTAGGTGGAGTGAAACAGCTCAAAAGTGGAGAGGCCGCCCACCAGAGGGTGCTGTACTCTTCAACCAGCCTTAATCCCCATTTTAATGATGGGGAGCCTCAGCTCTTTAGTCACTGCATGGCTGAGAAAAAGAATATCCCAGCACTTTCATATTAGGGCAGGTGAAGAATTGGTGGTCAAGATCCTTTGGACTCTTCACATATTCTCCCACTGTTCATCTCGTGCCCAGTTCTAGTTCATGCTTTATTAGCACTGCTTGCTCTGCGAGAACAAGAAACATGAACAAATTGAGCTGTGTTCTAATGTGAAATTTGTGCAAATCTCCAAGTTGGTACAAATTTCCAGGATAGATCAAAGTGGGTTGATTGAGTATATTGAGGACGTTTGTGCAACTGGAAATGGGAGTCAGGAACAGGATGAACATGTGTTTGACAATTTGCAAATACTTTTGGTGAATATTTGCTCACACTCACAGTTTTGAATGGGAAATTGACATATTTGCAAGGAAAGATGTAATTCTTACAGATCCCTGCTTCCACATTGTTCTTTGGTGCATGAGGCCATTATGTTTTGCTAGCCTAAGGGAAGCCCAAAGCCAAACATCTC